CTGCAGTATCAAGTCGCAAGTCGCGTCTCTATCAATTATAAACCATGATATGAGTGCAGCTTTTATTTTGAAAATTACTCATCCGGGTCCCCGCAGCCCAAGCAAGCTCGCGCTAACACGGACGTCGCGAAGTGTCAAGCTAGCTCATGAGAAACCTGAACTGAGACCGGAAGTGTATAGAGTGTGACTTCGCTATAAGAGAAAACTTCTATTCCATTTTTAGAAAATGCTTTGAGTGTTTGACACCAGTGACAGAGCTTGACATTTAATTATGTCATTTATGATTCACTAGAAACATTTAATGGAAAATCTGAACAGATGTCATTACATCAGATTTCTTTCTTGTCTTTCTTTAAAAGGCTCCCACATGATAAGACTTAGGGAAAGACTGCTCAATTTAATTGTTACCGATTGTAAAAGTTAAATTGGGCGTTTTCCTTTATAAACACAAAGATGCCACAAACATGAGGCCTCGGGCTTAATGTGGAGCACAGATTTACACAGAAATATGCCACAACTTCTGTCGTCCATTTGTGGTTTTATCCTAAACAAAAATAACTGCACAAAATTGCATGTTTTGTTCTAATCATAAATATTTTTACATTTGTTATCCGATTCTAAATACCTAGGGTCAAATATCTCCAAGTTTTTTTGCAATTGTTACACTTACATGTTTCAGATTAATAAACTAATGTTAATGTCACACAAAGATAACCTGAGTAAAAATAAAATGCAGTTTTAACATAAATATTTCATTTTTTTCCATTCAAAAAGTAATTGCCCCTTAACTTAATAACTGGTTGTGCCACCCTTGGCAGCAAGAACTGCAATCCAAAGTTCGTCATAACTGGCAATGAGGCTTTCACGCCTCTGTGGAGGAATTTTGATCAACTGTTTTGTGCTTGTGTTATAATTCAGCCACACTGAAGGGTTTTTGAGGATTAATGGCCTTTTTAAGGTCATGCCAAAGAATCCCAATCTCAAGTTTAAGTCTGGGCTTTGAGTAGGGCACACCAAAACCCTCATTTTTTTTAATCCATTCAGAAGCAGACTTGCTCAATTGTTTTGGATCATTATCCTGCTGCATAACCCAAGAACTGAACAAACTGATGGTTGGACAATCTCCTTCAGGATTTTTTGGTAAAGAGCAGAATTCCATCACTTACAGTTTGCAATGTATATTTACTCCTGTTATATTTGTCTAACAAAATGTGTGTGTTGATGTGAAACATTTAAGTTAAGTGTGACAAGGAAGGAGGAAAATACCTTTTCTCATCAACTGGTTGTAACAGGTTTATAAAGAAATAGAAAATAAAAGGGGACTTCAAAAAAGTTCAATTACAGTGAAAATTGTAAAATCAAAATACAGTTCTTATATTCTTTCAAAGCCCTAAAAATGTTGGTACTTTAATGGCAAAACAATAATTTAACTTAAATCACTATAAAAATATTATAATAGTTGAACTGCAGGCGAAGTGAATACAAAAGTTGTCAAGTGTATAGTTATATGTAGTTTACTCTTCCAGCACAAAATGTTATTTTATAAAAAATAACATAAAAAATAATATATGTATACAATCTATAAAACTAGATGCTTCTGAGTGAACGCTATGTTTTTCTTTAATCTGAAGACTCGGACCGGAAGTCTCCTCTTAACTCCGCGGGACTTGACACTGGTGGCAGGAATGGCGGCTATGATCACTAGAGGAAGGAACCAAGAGACCCTGAAACTTTACTTCTGACGGCCCCGCAGAGGAATGTGTTTCTAGTGAAGGGCAGAAACACCCTCCTGTAACGGATTACAGCGAGAAGAAGTGCTGTAACGTGAGATCACGGCGGTAGATGTCCGGGTCGGGGAGGTGGACGCACTTTGCTAGTTAGCCTAACGTTAGTGCCACTGACTTTGATTCAAGGTAGCTGTTAGCCCGCTGCACTACTAGCCAGCTGTTGGCTACTTGGCTTGGCTGGCCCAACAAGTTATTAACTGTGTGAAAGCAACCTTTATTTGAATCTTCGAGTTGGGATCGGCTCCTGCTTGGTACACAGTATTAGGGACGTTTACAGAGATTGGGATAAGGCGCGTTGGGAACATCATTACAACAGCTAACCTCAACGTTAGCACGGCTTAGCTAAGTTGGGATCCTGAAGTCTCGCCCATTTTTTGGATCCTGCCCCAGCCATTGGCTAAGGGCTAATCAACAGCCAACTTGTGTTCTTTTCAGGCTCATTTGGTACTACGATGGAAAGTCTAACGCTGAGTGATGTCGAGCAGAAATATTACTCGGATTTGTTCGTTTACTGTGACACGGACAACACTAAAAAAGTGGCTTCCAACGGGAGAGTTCTTGACCTTTTCCGGGCGGCCCAGCTACCCAGCGAAGTTGTCCTGCAGGTAAGCTAGCGTAACCGTGTTATCATTCAGACTGCGAAGGTGTGCGTGAAACGAAGGGCCATTGGGGGATTTTTGGTAAACTTGGCTGGCAGGCTGACTGTTGGAGCTGTCCTGTCAGCCAGTGTCGTTGTGATTATTTAGCCCGGGTGCTTAGCAGAGCTGCGCAGCAAGAGAGACACACCTTCTTCTGGCTAATGTTAGCCTTAGCTAAACAGAGTAGGTAGACAACTCACACAATTTATTTCTTTGAGTTTTTTTTTTCTCTAACTGACATATTATACATGCAATAAAAGCTGGCATGCCCTCTTTAGTTACCTTTCTGTGGGTATGTGTTGAACTGTGTATCTAACGCACTAAATACTTCTCATTGCTCTTGCTGCCCACTCTTTCCTGTCTTCTCCCTCCATCAACATCTGCCTTTTTTGTTCATTACTGGCTAACATGGTGGAAATGCCTGTGCCTGCACGCCCGTGATCCACAGAAGTGGAGACTTTGTTTATTAACCCTCAAATACGGATTGCCTTCTTGGTCAGATTGCAGTGTGTCCCTGCTCTGACAACTGTGAGTCATGAGTAGCCAGTTAAACTGCAGCAGCCCATTCTTGTGACTCCAGATCTCTCAGCATGGCCAATATTTGCAGTTTGTGAGTCAGCATCCTTTTCAAGGTCAAGAGAGGGGGGCTGTGTGGTGGGAGAATTAAGGAGCGTTGTAATCCTACCACTTCCAGAATCTACACTGAGCTCTGTGTTGGCCCGTGAGACACATACTGCTACAGTGTCATGTTGTAACAGGCTGAGAAAAGTCACTGCTGCTTTGTATCCAGTCATACTTGGATAAAGTCCCTCATCGGCAAGAAAAGGGTCAGCTGTGGCAGTTTTTTTTTTTTTTTTGAGTGGCTCGCAGCACTTAAGGGCACCCTCTTAAACAGTTATCCTCATGTTATAAAATCTCACCAGTAGTACTAATCCTAAGGTTTCAGTTGTTTCTTTTAACCACTTTATCTTTTGTGTGTAGAAGGCCGTTTCATTGTTTTGTAAAGCACTACAAAACATGATAACCAG